GTGCCTGACAGGATGATCGCCCATTACAGTCATCAACTCTGTAATGGTGGAAATCGGGGCTTAGCTCATACAGTTCTGTGTTATAGTTGAGGAAGTAAGTCACCTGATGACCCATGTGTGAAGTTATGCCCCCACTTTGACATAATCCTCCTCAACCCCCACCTTCCCTAAGACGGCCAGTGCAGAGGAGTGCTGTGAGCAGAGCTCTGCAGTGCCGTGGGCACAAGCCCTTTAAGAGACCCTGGGAGGGCAGAGCTCAGTGAGTGTGAGGCACATGTCTAAAGCACGAGGGTGTGACTGGAGCAGTTTTGAGGGAAAGAGAGGAACTGAGAGAGGTGGTGTGTGTCTGTGAGAGACTGGGGGACTGAGAGTAAACTGGACTGAAGTGTCTGAGGACAGAGTGCCTAGGGAGCACGAAAGGGGAGAGAAGAGAACTCAGGAGTGACTGGGTCCAGAGCGTGAAGTGCAGGACGCCTGCAGCCTGAGGGACACCCGGCCAGGGAACAGATTGCCCCAAAACTCTCGTGGCCTCAACTTGGAACAGGCAGGAGTCGGCTCCCAGAGTTTGCCCCTCAGGTGTGCTGCAGCACTTTTGCAGCAGCTCCCCTGTTTCTTTGTAAGTATTCCCTCTAACTAAAAGCAGGGTGGTGTGGGATACTTACCTATTGCCTCCAAAGAAGAGATCTGTGAAAGAAGATCTCTGGGCGAGTCAAATAAAGCTCTCCTCTCTTATTAATACTGTTTCTCCTCAGACCTTTTTGGGATTTTAGGATTGTTTAGGATTTTTATGTGGTCATTGTTGGTGTTTATTGTTTGTTTGGTGTTGTTTCATTAAATGTTTAATTATTCCACTTGTTGTTAATAATTAGAGTGTTTTAAGTGTTTAGTGTGCACTTCATAAACTAGCTGTTTGTCTGAGGACAGTTCTTAGTTACTTATTTAATACATGCAGTAATTAGATATGCTTTGGGCAAAAAAGCACCCTACCTTTTGGAGGGTTAATTGACACAGAGCTGCTGTTTGGGTGGGCTTGAATAATTAGAGAATAAATTGATAATTAGCCCCCAACAACTCCACAACTGGTCCTTCAGATATTTGATTTATTAACCCTGCAGATATGTTGTAGAACTTATCTCTTATGAATAGCTGGGAAAGAAATCTTAGAAAAAACACAGCTGAAGCATGATATGTAGTTGTTATATAATAGGTTCATGATTATTATAAAGGGTAAAATGTATTACGAGTGGAAGAGGACATTATTACTTAGTTTTAATGTCTGCCTTTTTGAAGATGTGTATACTTACTAAAAAAATGTGTACTTGAAATAATGCAATTAATGAATGAACTTCCTGCAAAGCTGAGAGATGTGGTTTCTTTTATGGGTTACAGCACGCTTTCTTTGATTCAGATGTGTTGTTATATATTTAGTTTATTATACTATAAATTTGTTTCCAGGCACTTTGTAAGACTCTTGTACTACAAAGATATCTGCTGAAGTTAGGTGTACAGAGTGGGGCTGGATAAATGGAGGTTCACATTCTTTATATGCTGTAGAAAGGTTGTTGCATGTTCTTCAGTTGGTTGTTGCATGAAAGGCTGCTGCATGTTCAGTGCTTCATTGACTGATCAGCATCAGATGGAGAAATTGGATTGTGAGCTTCCACTTCTGAGGCTAGCGCCTAGATGCTTTCCAGCTCTGAGAACATTTTTAATGGCCCATTATTATTACTGTTTTCTGTAATGGAAATACTTGGCCTCTTAACTGGACCACAGTTTAAGGGGTTTCATACTAGTTTGGTTCCATTGTAAAAATATGCTTGTAGGCTGAAAAGTTTTGATATTCTTATAGAAAAAGGGTATAGTTATTTTTAAATAGAGGGCACAGGACTATTTTTAATCAAAAGTGACTGATGTGGAGAGCGTGAATGGAATGTAGACTAGTCAGTGCAGGGACTTGGAGTGAGTCGCCATCAGGAATCTATTCCCAGCTCTGCAAGTGATTGCTGGTGTTACTTGGAAGATTTAATTAATCTCCTTCTGATTCAATTTATTAATCTGTGAAACTGGGATAATATTTATTATTTCCATCATCAGCATTAGCTTTATCAAAATATCCAATGGGTTTTGAGGTGATGGGGGAGTGTGGTTTTCTTCCTTTTCCTAACCACAAATGCTGAAACCTGTGGAGGGGCTTCTACACGGCATGCTGTGAGGCTATTAAGTAACATTATAGAATATATGCTCCTTCCTGGCCTAGATTCAGTAGAGGAAAAAGGAGAATGTATCCCTAAAACATTATTTGTGATCTTTAGTAGCTTAAACTACAGCTTTCTATTAGTAAATCAGCAACTGAGGGGGATCTGTGGTGTTGCATTCCTTCTTATGTATTTGCAATATGTAGATCATTACTCTACCAGGAATGCATCCTCCTTCCTTTCCCTCATTGCCTTTTTTATAATAAAAAGAAAATTTGAAGATTTGTGCAAAATGAAATAATTGCATATTAGTAGGAGATGCATTATATATAGAAAATAATCAATGTTTGAATCAGTGTTCCTGTAATTATATATTGCAGTAATGTTCAGAACTAAAAAAGGGAAATTAGACTTAATTTTGAATGGCCACAAGATTACTCATAATTCCCTAGTCACATTATCTGGAATAAGTGGAATTTTTGTGTCACCAGTCCTTTGTACTATGGCTGTCACTATTTTATGTTGTAAGAAAGCAGCTGATTTTTTCCCTGTTCTTATTCTAGTGCATTTAAAATATTTTTAGCCTTGCTATTTCAAGTCATTCTGTACAGAGACCATTTCATGGAAGTTTATATGTAGCTGGTTGGAAACTCCAAAACATCCAACCCCACCCTTTATCTTGATCAGAAAAAGCCTGTTCTCCCCTTAGAAGCTGCATTTGTTTAAGTGCTTTTTTAAAAGAGAGATTCAAAAGAGTTTAAAAGATAATTGAAGGTACCTTTTTTTTAAAGTAGCTAAAAAGGCAGGCCTGGATAACTGAAGCATATTAGCCTTGTTGAAGTGTCACTATTTGAATGAAGAAGGTGTCAAGAAAACAGAAAATGTATAAATATCTTATCATAAATCCCACTGCAAAATATTTCACTCCAAGGAGTCAGTGGAGTGACACCGGTGGAAAACAACTGTAAGAGAAGAAGACCTAGTGGGAGTTTGGGATTCCTGTGGTTTGCTACACAGCCTGGGTTTTAGTATCATAGAATCATAGAAAATGAGGGTTGGAAGGGACGTCAGGAAGTCATCTAGTTCAGTGTTTCTCAACCAGTGAGTCACCACTCAAAAGTGGGTTGCAAGAAAAACTTGCAAAAGGGTGGGTTTCCTTTTGCAGGCTGGCAGTATTCCAGCCTGCAAGGGGCTGCTTGGAACAATTGGAGACAGCGGGCATACATGTATCTGTGCGCGCAGATGCACGTGGCCAACATACAATGAAGCCAGGTTGTGGAAGCAGCCCCAGATGCTGGATGCAGGTAAGTGTATGGGGAGCAGGGCATGGAAGTCTAGGGGACTATCTTGAGGGCTGGGGCAAGGGGTCATGTGGGTGTGTGCATGCACACTGGGGACGGTGGCCAGATGTGACACTGCAGCAGGGCAGGAGTAGCGGGGCGAGAAGGTGCCTGGTTCTTGAGCACGGGAAGGAGGTGGGGGAGGTTCTTTGTAGTGGAGAGCTGCTTGCCTGTGCCATCGGTCCTGGACTGGTGCCCATACATGCAGGCACCTGCCCTTGCTACTTGGGGGGTGGGATGGGGGCAGCATTTGCTGCTTGGGCCCAAGTAGGACTGGGTGGCTGGGGGCCCCCTCTGGCAGGGCTGTGGGCTGTGGCTTGGGTTGAAGGGCACCAGAAGGGTGGGGGGAAGAGGGCGCAGAGGACTGTGGGTCAGGCACTGGCAGGACCAGGGGGATGTGGGTCTGGACAAGCCATCTATCTTAGTAAATGCATCATACAAAAAAGGTTGGGAACCACTGATTCTAGTTCAACCCTCTGGTCAAAGCAGGACCATTCCCAACTAGATCATCTCATCTGCAGCTTTGTCTAGATGGGTCTTAAAAACCTCCAAGGATGGAGAGTTCGCCACCTCTCTGAATAACCTGTTCTGGTGCTTTACTCCCCTCCTAGTGAGAGAGTTTTTCCTAGTATCCGATCTAAACTTCCCTTGCTGCAGCTTGACCCCATTCTTCCTTGTTCTGACCTCTGCTGCCACTGAGAACAGTCCAGCTCCAGCTGCTTTTGAACCAGCCATCAGGTAGTTGAAGGCTGCTATTAAATCCCCTCTTGTCTTCTCTTCTCCAGACTAAAGCAGCCAGCCAGCTCCCTCAGCCTCTCCTCATTAGAGGCTGAGGGACCTCACTCACATTTTCATTGCCCTACGCTGGACGCCCTCTGGTCCAGGTCTCTGTGGCTTGGGTATCATGCGAGCCTCTTTTTTAGGATTCATTCAAGCTAAAAGCCTATTGTCATTTGACCCAGCTGGAGTTTTTGAGGCGCAGGTGAGGGAGCGCCCAGCTTCTCATAATGTTCCTGCTGTAATGACACGTGGAACGTTTCCGCGCGGGGCGATGCGGGGGGACGCGCGCGGCTGGGAGTGACCGAGGCTCCGGGCAGCCCCGAGCGCCGCGGGAGAGCATGGGGCGGCCTTTCCCGGCCTCCACGCAGCTATGAATAGAGCTTGCAGAGCCTCTGCTCCTTCATCCCGGGAGGCTGGAGATGGGGAGGAGGCACCGAGCAGGCTGCTGCCGCCGCTTCCTCCTCCTCCCCCTCCTCCCCCTGTCACTGCTGCGTGCCCGGGGCTCGCCCAGCTCCGGCTCCGGCTCCGGCTCCGGCTCTTCCTGTGGCGGCAGCTGCCTCTTCCCCTGCCCTCCCCGCAAGCCCGGCTGCTTCGTCGTCCGCACGCGCCGGGCGCTGCGGGTCCGGGAGGCGCGGAGCTGCCCGCCGGCGGGGTGGTGCCCCCCG